AAAACATTTTATTCTGTCTTTGTTGTTGTTATTCACGTCGGCGCTAATGACTCCCAACTTCACCAGTCGGAGGTCACTAAAATTAATGTTGGTGTGTAACTTCGCTAAAACAATGTCAGACTCCGTAGTTTTCTCTGGACCCCTACCCAATGTGACCAGTGATGGCATGTTTAGCTGCATGTCATCATTCAACCGCTGGCTGTCTAGGTGGTGCCCAGAAAATAACGTGGGCTTCATAGATAACTGGAAAACATTTTGGGGAAAACCTGGTCTGATTAGCAGAGACGGCATCCATCCCACTTTGGGTGGTGCGGCTCTCATCTAGAAATCTGGACGAGTTTATTTTACAACCTAAATTATAACAACCCAGAGTTGAGTCCAGGATGCAGGGTCACAGTCTTACATGCCTCTCTGCGTCTCTTTGCAGCTGCTACTCACCAAAAACTCCCAGTACCCCATAGAGAACACTCACTCACTGTCTGCCTCTGTATGTGTTTGTGTGAATGTAATTAATGCATACTTCTTTCCACTAGGGTGCAGATATGTCAGCAAGACAGCAACAAAGACCCAGGTGGAGTTTGACTACAATGGGCCCTCCATGAAAACTTCAGTCCCTGGGCCACGATCACAAGTAATACACATATGGACAGGCACACATGCATGCTCATACACACCCAAATTGGTGCATTCTATCCCCGTATCAGGTATTACTGAGCTAAATGTCACTAAATGTGATTTTCAATCTGTAGGAGCTGACCAAACAACTGGGAGACATCCAGGTGAGCTGAGGTGTGTGTTTGTGTGTGTGCATGTGTGTCTGTAACCCTGGTATTACTCACATTGTGGGGACTTGCCCAGATGCTAGTAAATTGTAGAAGGTAGAAGACTTTAAGGTTAGGGTTAGGCAAGTCATGGTTATGGTTATGGTTAAGAGTAGAGCAAGTATCCAGTTAATGAATGTAAATCAATGCAAAGTAGACAGATGATTGTATTTGGTTTGGTTAGTAACTTCATCAGTAGCCTAGTTTTAAGCCTATTTTGTGTGTTCCTGTCAGCGAAATAGCAGTGTGTGAATTATGAATTTTGCCACAGCTCCAGATTGATTTAGCTGTTTGTGCATCTGCGTTTTTTTGTGAGCTGGTCTTGTTACTGAAGCAACATTTCTGTCTTACATAAGTGTGCCTAAGCTGCAGGTGTTCACACCGGCCCTGATATTTGAGTTTCAGGTGGTCTTCTATCTTCAGCGCACTGTGCACAGTTGATCACCCACAACTGTACTACACAGTTTGTTTGGACCGCATCATCATTGATGCACATGTTAAATATAAATCAATGTGTTTCTGACAAATATTTCTGGTGTTTTTACCAGATTGGAGGATGATCAGAGCATCACTTTGTTCACTCAGTCACTTGACAGTTTAAATAGTCTGTCAATATATGATTTGTCAATATAGAATGTTGCTGTGACCCAACAGGTTTAGTTATCAAAACAACCACACACTTGGCACATCTGTGGCATTC